TGAGTCGCCCCAACTGTGTTTTATTTATGCTTGAAAAATCAATTCCGGGGTTGGAGATGCCAACGCTGGGACATGCCAGAGTTAAAGCTGTTGCTGGGCACGTTCTTATATGTTTTCAGAGATGCAAGCAAGTTCTGGTGAATCATGGTTAGGCATCTGGACGAAATCAGGATGGCCTTACGCCCGGCGTTTGAGTACGCAGTCGCTTCGGCAGTTACCGACAACCGAAGCGGCCTCCTGCTGATGTGACCTTGCTGCCGACGGAGGAGGAATGGTTGTTCACGGATGTTCCATGGAGTTTGAGCATTGGGCAATGCTGTAGATGCAGGGTTGCCAGGACGTGTTACAACAGCCAGCAATGGTGTCAGAAAGTTGCACGGCTACGCTTGGATTGGCAAGGTGTTCGGAATTCATCCATCCTATAATCCTATAGCATGGGTGACAGAAGGGGGGTGTCTCAGGGGCCCGCAAACGGATTTTGGTTGGGAAGGGGCGGGAAAACGAAGAAAATTTTGGTTACAATCATCAACAACGTCGCCTTACGGGTGTGGGCGTGCCAATCTTCCTTCCGTTTTCTTCCATCAACAATGCTATGCTCGCAGATCAAGGCCAAGCGGCAAACTATGACCGGCACAGTGGTAGGGGAAATTGTGCCGGCAGCAAGGTTGAGTTGCGGCCCCGGTGAACACCTCGTATGTCGACGTGCTGGATGATGCAAATGCGTTCGTTATTTGCCCGTTCGCCCGTGCTGGTGTAAGCCCACAGTTTGGAGCGGATCAACCGACCTTGGCGCACCAGCTGCGTTGTTTTCAAACGGATGTTATCAATGATGACATGATCCATCGCAATCGGAGATGTTTACCGCGAGTTGCAACTGTTTGTGTGATCATAGTGTGCTGTATGATGCTCACCGCTCTAAGCCTCGATGCAGTCTAGCATGCGCCAAGACACAAACAAATGTTGATCATCCTTTCTCCCGCGTCACAAAAGCCATGTCCTTGGAGCTTGCGAGAGATTTTGTTCATCAACTGTTTCTTCTTGTGGCATGGACACGTTTTGAGACCTCTTGGTCTGACAATTCGGAGAATTAGAAACTCGCGTGGGGACCTGAATGCTAAGCTTCCAGGATTGGAAGTTGAAAATGAAAAAGAAACAAAAGCAGAACATTGTGGAGATGGGGCGGGTAAGTTTCATGTTCTACTGTGCAGGTGCTTTTCAAGGTTTCGTGCCGTGAATATACTGACACAAGCATACTCCGGCCAAATAAAGGGCTTTCTGAATTTCCTACTTTTCTTCGTTATCATTTCTGAACACCAATGTTAGGCATGTTTTACAACGTTTGCCTGGAATTAGAAGTTAATGACGACGTGATAACAGGCCTCTTCACATCTAAAAGATCCAGCTGGTGCCCTTCATAGATGTTGGGCTTCTACACAATCCCCTTGAATCAATACTTCCTAGTCATGTGTGTTTTTGGGACCAATTACCATTGATTAGGCAAGGCGACTGGAGGGATGCGTTTCAGTAACGCCTGCGGAGCCAGTACAGGATGGTCGCTTTCTGTTCAGCTCTCAACTCACGATGGGCTTGCCGTGTTTTTGCAAATCGGAAGGCTGCCGACACCATGCAGCAACTGGAGCACATGCAGCACGAGTCAGAGGCTGACAGCAGAGTGGAGCTTGAAGTGCAGAAAATTAGAGAGCAAACTAGACCTTGATGCAGTTATCTTGAATCCTGTTTCAATCGTCCTTGCGGCAGGTAGCATTTGTCGATCTTTCTTCAGTGTGTCAGTATGTTGAGCTGGAGAGTGGCGCGAAACAAGCCCGGAGGTTTTGCTTCAGAGATTGCCGTCCCGGTTTCTGGCGTGCCGGGCTTGCGTGACAAATTGACACCAATGTGCATGGGGCAAGCACAATGGGACCCTGTTCATCCTTTTTCTTGTTGGAGGCATCGCATTTGCAAAGGGTCTGGAGATACAGGCTTGCCGACCTAGTGGTCTGACTGGTGACACATGCAGTCGATAGCAGAGGCAGCAGCTTTGTCGATGAGCCCAGCTGCGATGCGGCAAATGCCTTGCCGACAGCTAAGTCTTGTTTACGAATATCCGAATCCTCGCAGCCTGACATTGCCTGGCTGTAGGAGAGACTTAGCAAACAGCAATGACATTCTCGAGAAGACGATCCGTGAGACGCGGCCTGGCTTCGTGGTCAGGGCCGAGGAACATCGCTGGAATCACTTTTTTTGCTTTTTAGCCGGTCTTGTTGAGGTCAAGGCCATGAAGCACAGCGGTGCTTGCCTTGACTACGAAGCAGCTGGTCTCGAGAACCTGGCGGCTTCCGCACACTCAGCCGGCAAAATTATCTGGTCAGCCTACTCAGTTTGGGAGCACACAGTGGCAACGTAGAATGTCTTGACAAAGATCAAGTCGCTGAATACGGGCCGGTACTACAACACGAGTCCTGTACTGCAGACGTTTCTTTCATTTCAGCAACAAGAATGTGGGAAAAATTCCGCATGTCAAGGCAAACCGAGTCTGTCTGCTCCAGCCCAGCCCTTTGTCATTGGTGGCAGCTATGGAGGTGGAACATGAGCTCAATTTTTTCTTTGTCAGGAGACAATCAAGTATGTGCTTGATGGCTGAACATCGCAAGTTGATGCTCAGGTCCCTGCAAGGCGGCTCTGATCTTGGGCATCCCACATGCTTTCCGTGCGTTGTGCCTTGCGGCATTTGCCTGTAGGTCTCTGAGGCATCCGCGACGTGCGGTCCACAGATGTACAGGGTGTGTGGAGATTGCAAGCAAGCTTGCCGTGATAAGGCCATCACCAAGAATAGGACGCACCAAGTCAGTGAGTGGTCTGGTGGGACCATCCTTTGCGTGAGACAAGCCAAATCCGCGCCCATGGTGACCATGGAAAGGCACGCGGCGTGCGTAGTCGGTCCGGCTCGAGGACATCTTCTCCAGCCAAGGAGACCAGCACTAGATACAGTTGCAAATTTATAAGTTATGATACAGTGACACTACAGTGTTTTCGTTGCGATTCAGGTGTCCAGGGGCGGCTCTAGACCTACAACCCCACGACAAGGCTGCGGACCTTGCTGGACGCAGGTGCTTTAGCAAGGCAAATGCAGCAAAGGTGCATCTGGAAGAACGCCGCAGGCAGCCACAAGCCCCAGGCGAGGCTTGGAGCTGCGACGAAAAGCGATGGATCCAGAAGTTATTAGACTTTAAATCATGATTTAACAGTTCTCCTTAGCTACCTTGTTCAACATACCCTTGGGGCAATTAAATCAGGATTTAGAACGTCTGGTGTATTAGGGGAGCAGAATGATTCAAAATCTTGATTTAATTGTTCTACTATCCAGGAGGTAGCCAGAGGCCTCCAAACATTAAATCACGATTCAATTGTGCGGATCTCCTCCGTACCCAATGATCTATGTAATATTTGATCTGAGGTGCGCTCATATAGGATAATCCTAGAGTCCTAGACGCCCTAGACGCAACTAAATCGCGATTCAAAAGGTGATCAGGGGTGCGCTCATATAGGATAATCCTAGAGTCCTAACATCCTTGGCCACAATTCGATCGCCTTCACTCATATAGGATATTCCTAGTCCCAGAGGCCCTATAGCCACAATTAAATCACGTTTCAATGGACGATCTGAGGTGCACTCATAGAACGGATCTAATCCGTACCCTACGATATACATTATATATATATGTATATGTATATGTAAATGTATATGTATATGTATACGTATATATCGGGTGTTCCTAGGAACCCAGGGTCCCAGAAGCACGCAACCACAATTAAGTCGTGATGTAATTGTGCGGATTTTAGCCGTGCCCTATGACATATATACATATATATATATATATGTATATAAATATACATATATGTATGTATATGTATGTGTATATATATATATAGATTTACATGTATGTATCGGGTATTCCTAGAGACCCAGAGTCCCAGAGGTCCCTAGCCACAATTTAATCGTGATGCAACTGTGCGGATTTTAGCCTTGCAAGTCACTGCAAAACCAAGCCCGCGAGGATTCCACGGTCCCGGAATCCGTATACGTCTTGGCATCTTACTCTTCAATTATATCGCGATATAATTCCCCCCTAGACTATATGCTTCGGCGGAATTTATTGGACATTCTAGCCCACACTTAAATCACGATTTAATTCTTTGGACTCTCGCCTTACTGTCGGGCTCAGTGATATCATGAGTCAACTATGCCCATGCGGCGGATGGGTAAGGCGCTGCACGACGTACTAGAAAAAACAATCAGGATTTGATTGTTCTGGATGTAGGGGGTTGCTAAGGTCGGACCCGGGCATTCAACTCAGAATTTAATTTTCTTTAACTCTTGGATCAACTGCATTCCGCGACGACACAGACACGGTCACGGTCAGGGAGACATGTCAGACCTGTAAGGCTTGATGACCGTATCGATGCAGGAGGCGAGGAAAAACCAAACTCGTTGACACCACTCGAGGGCTGGTGTGGAAGGCAGTGATGGTTCACCAGTTTCTCCCTCTTTTGGAGCTGGTTGGAATCCTGGATGCTTCTTTGTACATCGTGTGGAGAATGTATTTCTTCCTTTGAAGGACTGCTGCAAGGCTCATCCCTGCGTCAAGCAGCTGCTGCCAATGTGCCTTGTTCAAGCTTTCTTTAACGACAAGTCTTTTCAGACCAACTTGCAGCACGAGGTGGCGAATGAGGACAGCAATCCCTTCGCCGTCGGAAGTGGGGAAGGGAATCCCTTTGGGGAAGAGGATGGGCTGGACGATGACCACCAGAACGAGAAGCCTGACAGCACCAACCCATTCAATAGGTGCACTGTCCAGGAGGGGCAGGGAATGTCTGGCAACCCATTCGTTTTCAAGAGTGAGGAGGGTCAAGAAACCAATCCCTTTGCAGACAAACTTACAAGAATGGATGGTGCAAATCCCTTTGGCGAGAGCGCGGCTAGTGATTGTGCGAGCTCCTCCTCTGACCAGGACCCAGGCGGGGCGCGAGTTTTGTGCGCTTATGCTGGCTTCATTTGCATGACAGGCAATCCCTTCGAGCTGGATCGCCAGGATGCAGGCACGACAAATGCTAGGCGGAATAGAGTGGAACCCATGATGAGCCTCATAAGCAGATGACTGTGACAGGATTCGGCTCAAGCTTCACATGCTTGCCGAGAAGCTAGCATTTACATGCCACTGTCATGAAAGTTGCACAGCATGAAGTGCTCCTGCTTGCTGCTGGAGCTCTCGCAGCAATAAGCTTGACAACTCTGTGGGGACGTTTGCAAGGCAGGCCGACCTCGCAAAAGAGTGGATGGGCTTTAATCGTGCAGTTACGCTTCAAAGATATTTCTGTTCGAGACGAACTCCTGAAAAGCTGGGCTGTGCTCGCCCGATATGTTCGAGACCATGAGCCCTTTGTTGTGCTGTATCAGGCTATCCAAAGCGACAAAGATCCATTGCTTGTGATCATAGATGAGCGCTACACGTCAAAGGAGATGTACACGGGTGCGCATAGAAGCAGCGCGGCTTTTGCAGAGTTTCGTCCTAAAATGAAGAAGCTGCAAGATGACGGACAGCTGGAAGTTTCTGGTGAAAGTGGCTTTGCCCTCGATTTGGATCACATGTAGATGGGATGCAAGCAAAAAGCGAAGTGCCTGCAGATTGCCGTCAAGCAATTTCCGCACATTGGGCTGTGATTGTTAAAATGAATCGAAGAGCGTTCTTTGCTTTCGAATTTTGAGCTGGGTAATTAGATCATGTAGAAGTTGGTTTGCGGTCACACTATCCTGGCATGCTGGGCAGGTGCGAGTGCTGCGGCATTGGAGGACTGAAAGCCTCGCCATTGAACTGTTATAGGTTTGTTCCTTCTGCAATTCGTTGCAGGCAGCACCAGAGCAGCTCCAACAATTTGGAAGTCCTGCAAGCATGGTAGAGGACTGACTCATGGAGGTACATGCGCGCGAAGGCTCTACTTCTGTGCCTTTTTTTTTTTTTTGTCAGGAATCGCAGCACGATCTTACTTGCTTTGAAAGTCCAGCAAGCTTTGGTGAGGAAGCTTTTGTTGATTCGCCGCAAGATTTCAAGCATGTGAGTGCAAGTCTTCAAGGTCGCTGTGTGAGTCCTTGCCTCGCAGGCAGCAAGTGCTTCACGCAATGCATTTGTCAGCAGACCTGTTTGCCTGCACCCTCAGCTTTGGTCCGTGCCTTTGCTGCGAAGTTGTGGCTTCCAAGGCCTCGATTTAACAGCAGATTCCACCTCCACCAGCCCCAGAGTGACGTCGTTGATGCCAGGCAAGGGATTGTCTGGCTTTCCACAAGGCATATCGCTTACCATCCAAAGTGGGATGGTCTTGAGCAAGGCGCAGCTCCCAGTCTGGAGGCTGGCGCCGACGTGACGGTATCCTCGAATGTAGCGGTTCTGCTCAGATGTGGCGACGTCCCTCTCCGCGGCAACTTCCGGGTGGACTGGCAGGGTGTCTCTGTGGGCCGGGAATGTCTGGACGCTCAGAAGCCCTCTCGGGCATCTTTTGTTGGTTCCGTCTGCAGAGGTCCAGGGTTGAGCATGACCTCGACGAAGAGTTGAAGCAAGTCGTTGAAGCACAGTCGCTCGAGGTGCCCTTGGAGCAGGGAATTTTTGATCTGTGTAGTATTTTCGAGCAAGAGGCAGCCATCGCGGCCAGCGATGCTTCGATGTGCAGAGGCCAGTGTCTGCCTGGCTTCCAAGCAACCCAGCGGCTTCAGAACCGGTGCTGAAGCCGTTGTACAGTGATAGAACAATTTATTAGTTTTACTTGTATCAAAGTGCAAAGCGCTTAGTAGAGTCATCGGGCCAAAGTCCTTGGACCCCACAATGTGAATTCTGTCGTCACATGATGGAGTTGCGAAGGTCTTCAAGCTTGAAGATATGATTTTCGAGTGCTGTGATGCAACCCATAGAAGAACAGATAATCGCCTGAGGGAATGAGAGCGAGAGAGAGCGAGAGAGGCCTTTTGGCTCAAGTCACCTGCCACGCTCTCTGCTGAGTGCCGTCGGGCACGGCCCCTTGCGAGGGTGGGGGGTTATCCCTGCTCGCCTGGGGGGTGGACGATGCACCGACAGGGGGTGGCTTGAGACCACATCCCGCAGCTGTTATTTCACGAGCGGGGGTATCCTGAGCCCTCCTCAAGGCAGCAATGGAGTCTATATGGGGCGGGCACTGAACTGAGATCACGCTAGCATGCAGGAGACTATGTGGAGGACTTTAGTTAGGCCCCTGCCGACAGGAAAAAGGAGAAACCGAGAAAGATCTTAACTCCCCTCATGGCCGTGGAAGCTCATGCGCTTGCCTTATGGGAGAGGGGGACCCAAAGCAATTCAATGCAAGTGATGGACGAGGTTTGTTTAGGGGAGTCGGAATTCAATGCAAGCGTACGGCCTGATGGAGAGCAGTGCAAGCATACAACCAGATGGGAACCAGATGAGAGGCAGATGGAGAAGGGCTTGTTCCAATGGGAGAAAGGAAGACTGACAAATTCAGTGCAAGTACCTCACAGAAGTGCTCCACAGAAGTACTGGAAGAAGCAAGTGCAAGGACAACTGCTCAACAGAGGATGTGAGCTGAAAGTCCTGAGGAAATCCTTGGGCTGGAGATTCTGCCAATAGCACACCGACCTGTGTGCAATGAAGGAGGAAACAGGCCAGCTGGACTGGACATTCTGCCATTAGTGCACCGACCTGTGCGCGATGGAGGAGGAAGGAGGCCAGAGGGAAGACCGTTGGGGAGTGGATGCAACCTACCCGCCGACCTGCGGAAGGACTTGCAAAAGCACCTCAGAGGAAAGAAAGGACATGAAATCATGAGTAGCTGCGAATGTACATACTGACAGGGCGCCGAACTCCTCAACCCAGCCAGCGGGCACAAGACCAATCCTCGAAATCGAACTGCAATGTTCTTTCCTTTTGCCTGGGCTGGCTGTTGTACAGGGAAATCGGGTTGTTCGGCCGTAGTAATTAGTACGCTTTCCCAGCAAACCGGAGGGTGCGAGGCGGAGCTTGCACCTGAAGCTGGAACAGTGCAACAGTACCGCTTATGGGTGTCCGCTGGGTTCCATTCCTCAGAGCTGTGCGCAGAGTGTTGGTATACTTAGGCCTGTCAGGTACCCTGAAAGTGCTAGAACATAGCTGTTGGCTGTGGCACTGGTATTCCTAGGACCTAGGATCCACCAGGGTTGTGGTTGTGGTTGTGGTTGTGCTGCCGCGCTGGACTGAGCGTCTTGTTCTTCTGCGGTCGTGGCTGTCCGCGCCGCCTCTGTATCTGTGATGGGTGGTTGTTGTTGTGGTTGTGATGTGGCGGTGTCTTCTGGTTGTGGTTGTTGTGAGTCTTGACTGTCTATCAGTATGACGCCGTTTGGATGGGGGTGTGTTGGCAAAGGTGTGTGTGGTAGGTGGCCATAATTTTGGAGGTGAGTCGTTGAATGTGGTCCGTCAAGGTTTGTGCGATCTGTAGGGCCAGGTCTAACTCTTCGCGCAGTGGTTGTGGTGGTGGGGGTGGTGGGTGGTGGGGGCATGGGGTTTGTGGTTGTTGGTGGTGCTGGGGGCGCTCGAGAGTTGACCTGGTGCTGGAGTAGATCCCTCAGCAAGGCATGCCTTGCTGCAAGGCCGTGAAGGGTGGTTGGTTCTCCAGAAAGGTCGTGAAGTGGAGGGGTTGGTGTGTGTGATGGGGTCCAGGTGCGTTGCTGCTGCTGCTGCTGCCGCTGCTGTGGGTGGTCGTCTGATTTGTGTGGGAGTGTGGTTTGCTAGGCTTGGCTTTGACGGCAGTGGTCTTTGCTTGGGTGCAAGGCTCCGCGGTGTCTCCTCTGGGCACTGCTGCTGCTGTGGTGTGGGCTGCTCTCGGGATTCCTGCGTGGTTGCTGTCTGCCTCTGGAGATGTATCGCTGCAGTAATGCTGTCTCCTCTTCGGGTGGGGCTTCTGGTGGCTCACTGCATGTGTCTGTGCCCTGTGGGCATCTTGGGTTGCGGCGCAGCTGTCGGGTTGTTGCTGTGGTGGTTGATGTGGTGATGGAGGCGCCTCCTGCTTAACTTGCTGCTGCTTGTGGTTGCTCAAGTGGTGGATGCTAGCGGTTGTTGTGGTGTTGTTGGCGTGGTGGTGGCCTGCGTTTGGAAGTGGGCTTGTGGGTTGTGGGGTTCCAAGAGCAATTGGTGTTTGCCTATCCTCGTGACGTGCCCATCACCAGTCCAGAGCCGCGCAGGCGTCTAGCCCCGGAAGAAGGTGCGCTGCGCCGAGACAGCGCAGAGAATTGCCAGACACCTTCAGGACAGGTTCTCTCGGAACTGAGATCAACCCTTACATTTCCTGCGTCCACCAAGCGCTCATGGTAGGGTGGAGAGACGGCGGTGACACCGAATCGTTGAGATGATCTTGTCGGAGCTGGCAAAGATGACAAAAAGGCAAGAATACAGGGATGCAAGGGAGCAGCTGCAGGAGGCGCGCAGAACAAGTGAACAGCAAGAAGGAGAGGGGCGGGTCTCCAGTAAACAGATGACGATGCAGCAAGCGGGCAAAACATTTAGGTGGGAGCTGAAGCGGGCAGAGCCGCGGAGGCAAGATACTGGACCATTGACCTCGCCACGCAGGTTGACAACTCGAAGACCTGTGCGGCGAGACTGCAGATCTTAAGGCTGGAGTAAGAGTTGGGGCTATTGATGCAAGAGCAGAGAGAGAATATCCTAGCCATGACGATCCGCCTCCCGCCGGGGAGAGAACTCGCAGCGCAGGCAAGCATCGTCACGGCTGCGTATGCCCAGGCCAGGGACACTGAGCCACCTGCGACTGCGGCGGTGCTACTGGAGATGCGCGTCGGACTGAGTCAGTGAGACTGTCAACAAGCTCAAGGGGTCGGCGTTTCCTCGAATTTCTTGCGAGGGGCGAGGGGAAGAGGGCGGACAAGAAACCCGAGGAAGATGAGCTACCTACGCAACAGTACGAGTGCCAGGGAAACCATCGAACAAAGACAGGGAAAACCAATCAACAACATAAAGACCTTGAACGAGAGGACTACGCCGTCCGCAAGCCGGGACAGGAACTACCGCCATGGAAGAAATGGAAGCAGCTGCGGACCAGGCAGGACTCGAGGCGTACGTCGAGCGAGAGGACTTGAAAGAGACGCAGATCGAATCGAATGGGAAAAGCACGTCGACTGTGTCATGAGACGAGCCCTCCGCCGCCAGAACGACACCGGCGAGTCGGCGAGACCGAGCATAAGAACAGTGAAGACTGAGCTCCAGCCACTAGCCCTGCTGAACAGGACCTGCGCTGAGGAGTCAAGGGGATGAGCGCTAGAACTCCTGAATGCGATGGTTGGCTGTGTAGGATGTTGGTTAGCCTTGCGTGAGCCTTATGACTGTTTGCAATCCTGGGCTTCTCCAGACACTGTAGTGACCATTTTGGCGGTTTTACACCAGGGCCGTGACCTATAGAGCTAGTAGGCCAAAGGTAAATGCCTGAGACTGGGTGAAAGAAGTTTGGGGTTATTTGTTCACTGCAGTGGCTGTGTGTTGCTGTGCGACAGTGAGCTGCGCTCAGTCTCGCCCTGAAAGGGAAATCATCATGCAACTGCAATCGTTTGTGGCTGATCAGATTGTGAGTCCCCTGGGTCGTTTGTAGAACGCATGTGCTACACTAGCAGGCCGGGCAAATCTCAAAGAACGAAGGCCGCTGGGCTCAACAATACTGGGAAAATTTCCACTCGAAACAAGAAAGCCAAAAGATGAGGAAGGCAATTATGTTGTCCGTGTGGGGGTCAAGCCCAAATTGTTGGTCATTAAGCTGTTGCTTCCATCTTATACCCTGAGATGCGCGGCCTTGCCAACAAGCGCAGAGTGGAAGAGGCAAGCCGCCGGCAAGCACAAAGTTGTGTAGAAATGTGCAATTAAGCTGTTTTGACATGGCTATAAGAGAGTGGTGATAGGCGACAGCTAAGCTGTTGGTGACACCGTGGCCCCAAGAAAATGAACGGTGGCGTCTGGCTTTACACCTTGGCTGTGGAGGGTGCAGTGGAGCCTGCGAGTTTGGTTTAATGGCGTAGGGATGGAGTGTTGGTAGGCTTGCTGTCCGTGCTTTGCCTGTCTGCGGTGCTGTCATAGCGGGAGTTCTGGCAGATGTAAAGTGTTCGGGCCGCTGCCAGGAGAGGGGAAGGGCGCAGAACCTTTGCCACGGCCATCTGCATGGTGATGCAATAACTATGTAATGAGTTGGTTCATGGTTGCGAGTCCCTAATCAAAGCACGTTGTGGCCATAGAATAGAAAGGATGGCCACTGTTTTGTGCTGTCTCACACCCGCCTAGAGACGCAAGGAAGGTCATACCATAATTTGCCACCTGGATGAAAAGATTTCAGGCCTCTATAGGCCATGCGAGGTTGATAGGTGGCAAGTGGGTATGCGCAGCACTCGGGCCCTCGGTGCAGCGGACTCGAGCGGGCTTGGGTCCCGGTATCCTCCTCTGGGTGAGATGTAGCATTGAGAAGAAGGAGAAAAATAGATAATGAAAAAAACAGAAAAAAAGAAAGAACAAAAAAAAAGACAGACAGAAAGAAGGAAAGAGAGAGGCGCAGGGAAGTAACATTGTACCCGGAGCCGGGCTTCAGCGTCAATTTGTGTCTGTCTTCGCGTCTCTGTGTATGTGCAGTAACCGAGTTTCGCTGCAGTACTCGTGCTCGCTCAGACATCCTGCTTGGGGCCTTGCTTCAGCCCCTTCCTCGTGGAGGGGTAGAGCAGTGAGAAGAAGAAGAAAAGGCGCAGGGAAATTCAAAGTTCCGCAGCGAGAAGGGCCCTACTCCGATTGCAGGACAGTTGAAGAACCACGATCCCGCAAGAAAGGGAGGCCATTCTACAAGAGGCAACAACTATGATACCACATCATCACCTCCACCATCTGGGTATACAATTGGCTACGCTCTCGTCCTTGATAGAGGCTGGAAACTGCATTATTTTGTATTCCCCCATCTTGTCTTCTCAACCCATTGCGGTACGGACATTCCTTGTCGCGGCCACCTGCTCTGCAAGATGCTCCCCGGGCTAAAGATAGAAACAACTTGATAAGGATGAACAATTTGGGCCCAAACCCCTGTTTGTGGAACACTTTTCCTTTTTTTTGATGGCGTTCTTTTTGTCTGCCCACTGGCCATTCATACGGGCTAGCATCTTTAGCACTTTCATACATCTGTGCAGGTCAGGTGTGCCAATTAACCAGACAACTCCCTTTACGTGCGGCTGCCATCCCAGGACCCGAATGCGCCCCATGCAGCGGCGAATTCTTACAGGGACTGCCTACCAGTATTACATTCAATACTCGTTGGGCACAATTCTCTTCACATGGTCTTGGGCGCATGTGAAATGTTCCCTGCCGTGGGTTGACCTCCTCTGCAATTTCTGAACCACAATAGCATCCTACTTAAGTCAAATTTCCAGGACACCCTTCTGCTTTCCCTTCTCACTGCAACTACGGTTGCAGTCTGCTAACTATGCATGGTCAATTCCCACGGTGACTGGATTCCACACAATCTGCCACTTGTTCTTTCCCTCCAGGTGCTCCGCTTCCGTGGCAACGTTATTCTCCCCGCTGTAGGGCATCTTCCTTGAATACATCATTTGCCGTGTCATTCTCCCTTTTGTAGGTCATGTCCCTCTGGATACAGCTCGACTCTGTCCCTGTCCGGGCGGTGGTACTCATATTGCTCCTCGTCTTCTTCCTCTTGCGCTTGTCTCATTACCTGGTACTCCTCCATGGCCAGGCATTCTTCGTCCGTCGGTGTTCTCCACTCTTCTCGTTCCCTTCTGACTTTGGCTTCCCACCTTGCCTGCGTAGCTGCTCCCAAAATCTGTGTGGCATTGCTGTCCTCCTCGTCCCTGCTTGCGACTTCCCTTCCCCACTCCATAACCAGTTGGAGTAAGGAGGCAATCCAAAAGGGCGCCACCTCCAACGCTGGTGTGAAACTGGAAACTGCTGGGGGGAGTGGAGGCGGCAGCTTTTGTTTACTACTGCGGGCTCCCTCGAGTGGACGACCGACCTGTGACCTCGCAAGACCATGGGGTGCAATCCCAACGAGCGCCTTAGGGTGTTCGTGTGGCCAGAGAACGACGCCCGTACGAAAGAACGAAAGAAAGCAAAAGACTTGACTTTGAGATCCTACTTTGTTTTCGACTTCTGTGGGGAGCTGTTGGGGAGCTGCTGACCTTGTGATTTGTCTTTCGCACTTTGCAGGGAATTGGAAAGCCTTGTGAACTGTAGTAATTTTGCCATGGCCTCTACGGGGAATGCTGGAAACAAGCAACGGGAGACCGCTCCGGAGGTGGAACGCTGCAAGGCTTGTAACTTGGGAAACCTGTTGAACAAGCACATTCTTACAGCTCCAGCTGCCTTTTTTTTTTTTTTTTT